GGAGCAGTAACAAGCTCACTAAAAAACCTGGGCTCAGCTGGCCCGGCTGATAGTACCCTGTAAGGGCTCCTAATCCAGGGATACAGGATGAGCAGCGTTTGTACTCCATGTTAGGAGCGGCTGCACATGGCGTCTGTTCCTCATGTCAGAGGCGGCCATTTCTTTTGGAGCTAAGTCTGCCTGCCTCTAAGTAGTGTTCCCAGTCTTAATGACAAAGGCAGATGCATTCTACTTCACCCAGTCATGGTGGTTGTCAAAACACCATCAAAAGTCACAACTTGATATCCTAATATGATTGAGTGGAGATAAGAAAGAAGAAGACCATGGTTTATAATTTCAAATGTAGCATTTAAATAGTTTTCTATGTGAATAGTTCCATAGGGAGTGCCTCTATCATGAGATCCACTTGTGAATTGCACATTTTATCTTATCTTGAAGTTGACACCATCAAATCTTTTGTTTGTATGCTATCAATGCTAGGACTGATATCTTTGCCTCATAAATGATTTTTTTTTTTCACTTATCACACAAGTATGTGTGGTAGAAGCCATGATAGTCATGGGTTTGGAACTGCTTTTAATCTAAAAGTCTAAATGTAGAAAGTGGTTTAACAAGGTACTGACCAAGTGTCAGTCAGGTTACCAACTTCACTGGTAGAGTTGGCCTTGTAAAAGTAAAGTTTCAGTAGAACAACTTCCATGAAAGGACACTCTCGATAGAGGACACTTCTCTACAAAGATCAGTTTTCATCACCAAAATTGTCATATTTATTATTTAGCTGCTATCTGGAAAGAAGACACCTCTCCATAAAAGATGCTATTGGCTCTGCATTTAGGTGGCCTTTACAGAGAGGTTCTACTGTATTTATTTATTGTGTATGTGTTGTTTCTTATCCTCTTGTTCAAAGATTACACAAATTCCATGAGTTCATGATCTCATGGAGTGGGGTGCAGCTTTCAATGATCATGGCACCACGATCCAGGCACACTTTGGTGAAAGTCTGACTTTGTGCCTGTAATTTTAAGCCGTTCCTAACATGGAAGCAGATGTGCCATATATGTAAAAAGCTGCTGTTGATGTAGGATTTGATTCTATCAGCTTGCATTCCCCATATAGCACATAGTAACAAAACCATTTAAATAAAAATTAAGTCCAATCATATCAATCTTTACTCCAATGTTTGGCTGACCCACTGTTTTCAGATAAGTGATTAAAGAAGTGCAGGAATGAAAAAAAAAGAAACAACATAAAGTTGTGGGAGGATTTTATTCATGTACCTAGAGAGCCCTCTCTACCTTTAATTATACATCAGAACAATGCATTATACTCATCACCCTAGTAAAAACAACTAGTCTTCTTTCTTATCTCCACACTGGGTGAAGTAGAATGTGTCTGCCTTTGTTATTAAGACTGGGAGCACTACTCAGTGGCAGGCCACTGACTTAGCTCCAAAAGAAATGGCCGCCTCTGACATGAGGAACAGATGCCATGTGCAGCCGCTCCTAACATGGAGTACAAACGCTGCTCATCCTGTATCCCTGGATTAGGAGCCCTTACAGGGTACTATCAGCCGGGCCAGCTGAGCCCAGGTTTTTTAGTGAGCTTGTTACTGCTCCCCCTCCTCTTCATTCAGGCTTGGGACCGGCAATGGCGGAGTTAAAAAACTAGTGGTGATGTAGAATGAGTCACAACCCCAAAAAATAGAAAGAGGATGAAATTTTCCCATATCTCATTTACAAATTTTTTTGCTTTTCATTTCCAATCTCTACAAGAAAATAAGACCTAATCCAAATAATTTAATAGTGTGTAACCTTTCTGTAACAGCATTGTTACCATCATCAGACAAAAGAATAAATTATCCACTTGTTACCAAAATGTCACACACTATTAAAATATTTGGATTAGGTCTTATCCTTTATATCTATAAAAATGAAATGCGAAATCGATGTTTGTTATCGCATCACGCAAAATCTACTGACTCAATCATTATGGAATTTCGCATGTAGGTAGCTGAAGATTTCGTTTAACATATAGGCTATTCAAAAAACTAAAAAGGTTAATGTGCTCTTTTTTAAAAATAAAAAACCAAAAAGCGTTAATTCAGGCCTTTTACCGCTTGGGCGCAGCACTGGTCGCGACGATAAATGAATTTGATTGGTTAATAATTTACACGTGGTTTGTAAACACGATGAATCTTATTTGTTCACACGATGATTGTTTTTAAAAGGTATGATTATCCAATCGCCGTGAAACTTTAGGAAGTTATTTACTATACTACTGGGAAGGTTTCTGGTATGAATTTGATTTGAAATAAATATTCTTTGTAATTTTATTTGCAAATTTTCTACTTTCACTCGCAAGCAGCGCCTCTAGCGGCGTCTGGTGAAATTTTCTTTATAAATTGTAACAATGCTTAAAATGTGTTAAAAGTATAATAAATTTAATTTGAGAATTTATTAATATAATATTCCAATGACGTAAAAAAAAACTTGGCGTTTTAATATTAATATTTATTTAAAGAAAATATTGTAACATTTTTGTGTTAAATGTTAAAATGTAATGTTAAAATATATTTTTACATTGTTAATTTAATTTGTTGTTGTTTTATAATAATAAAGATGCAAATTACATTGTTGTTGTTTATTATCGTTTGTTTATATAAAAAAATTACATTGTATGTGATGATGATAACAAAAATGAATTTTTAAATTAATATATATAATTCATTGAGAAAAAAGAAATAATTAATTATAAAATTCATAAAAGTGACAATATCTTATTTAAAATATAATAAATGTTTTAAAAGAATGTTTCAAAAATATATTTAAACGCATATAACAATATTTATATTTATATACGTTTATAAATCAATATATACGAGTAGGTGGATTGGATGTTTTCTAGAATCGTTTTAACAAATGTTCGTTAGGCAAACTTTTACTCGGATAAAAACCGGGCGAAGCCGGGTACATTCGCTAAATACAGTTATTTACAAATCTTCGTTTGTGGCAAGATACTATTCCTTCAACTTTTAAATTACCGAGTGGACCAATTAATACTGATTTTTTTCAACTTATCGAGTATTTTTCAAGGGAACCGGAAAATTTTCAAATTATTGAGAGTATAGACAAGTATAGATTCAGTAGGGATTGGATGTTTGCTAGAATCGTTTTAACAAATGTTTGTTAGGCAAACTTTTACTCGGGTAAAAATCGGGCGAAGCCGGGAACTAATCTCGCTAAAATTTGAACAGGACAGAGAATTATATCTGGAAGAGCTTTTTGTCGCACTTTTAACCAAGAAAAATTATAATTAGCCAAGTACTCAGCAACAATTATTTTTTAGTCAGAAATGATTATGACAATATTGCTGTATCATGCTTGCTTGACATAAACAAAATTCTTTAGGGGAATATTCACTAAAGCAGTCCACGGGCGAAGCCAGATAATAATTATTAGTAAGCAGGAACAAAATTCTACCAGCGAAACATTCACTCGAGCAGAAGACACACGAAGCCAGGTCTTCTCTATATATAAAATATCGTTTCTCGGCCTTTTGGCTAAGATCATTTAGTATATCTCTAGATATTTTTATTTATATATATCTTTTTTTAAATCTATTCAGTAGAGAGAGAGAGCATATGTTTGATCGGAAAATATATTATATGAATATATAATGTAATGAATATTATTATCATCATTATCAATAATATTCGTTAGGCAAACTTTCACTCGGATAAAACCCGGGCGAAGCCGGGTACACATCCGCTAGTTTTCTTATATCTATAATCCAAATTGTGCTTTATCATTTACAATCCATATTACCATGTAAAGTAAACTATGTCGTATTTTGACTTGGTCCTGTCTTTTTTAATTTTAATTTTCAATCTCCAAGTTGTATTTGAATGTGCACACACACACAGGCAACAAAGTACAGTTAAACCTGTCTATAGCGCCCCCTCTTGGGACTCACCAAAATAGGGTGCTATTTAGAGGGGGCGCTATAGACAGGTTTAACTGTACCTTTCCTACTTTAAAAAAAAAAAAAACTTGTTCATTAAATACATCAAAACTGGCTGAAGATTGGTACTACCACTTTACCTGCTCAATTACCTTTTCAGAGATTTGGCCGATTTCATCCTACCATAGGACAACACAAAATGATAGCTGCCCCAGTAGTAATGAGGGTTGTAGTCCAAAATAATGGTGTACAGATTGACTTGTTTTTTTAGTTTGCCAAGCTTCTGGGGTATATTGACTTATCTGAATTTGAACAAAGAAGAGACAAATACAGTAGAACCTCCATGAGAGGACACTCACGCTAGATGATACTTCTCTACAAAGAACAGTTTTCATTTGCAAAATTACCATTTTTACTATTTAGCAACTCTCCGGTAAGAGGACACCTCTCTTTAAAGGGCACTTTGGCTCTGCAACTAGGTGTTGTCCTTTACAGGGAGGTAGTTCTACTGTAATTCAATTTATTGTTTTTGATACATCCATGAAGAAGAAACCACCTGAATACCATCTTCCCTGCCGCACTATTCCAATATATTTATATGTGTGTGTGTTGACAGCTGAGCCTGTCATCCAGAAGTGTGTGGCCGCCAATTCCAATGAAGATGCCTACCTCATAGAAGTCAATGTTGGAGACCGCACCACGTGAGTATCTCTCTCTCCTTGTGTTGTTGGTCATCACTTCTTCTTTCTTATCTCTACTCAATCATAATTAGGATATCATGCCTGTAGAATTGACATTCATTTTTTTTTTTGCTTATCCCTAGTACATGTGGTAGAGGCCTGATATTCATGGTGGGTAGAAGTAGGCGACTGCTTTTACTGTAAGTGCACCACATGTCTACACATGTGAAAATCAATTCGACTTTGCACTTACAAATGTGCCAGAGCCTCATTTGGTTATTTGCACTCGCTGGTGGGGTTGGATTTTTGCAAGAATCGGGGGCCATTGGAGCATTCTTTTTTTTTTTTATCAGAAAAAAGTGCCCAATGTGGGAATTTAACCCAGGTCGTAGTGGTCAAAAACCAACCATCCTTCCACCGACTCCCTAATGACTGGGTGAAGTAGAATGCATCTGCCATTGTCATTAAGACTGGGAGCACTACTCAGTGGCAGGCCGACTTAGCTCCAAAAAGAAATGGCTGCCTCTGACATGAGAAACAGACGCCATGTACAGCCGCTCCTAACATGGAGTACAAACACTGCTCATTCTGTATCCCTGGAACAGGAGCCCTTACAGGGTACTATCAGCCGGGCCAGCTGAGCCTAGGTTTTTTTAGTGAGCTTGTTACTGCTCCCCCTCCTCCTTGGTTGTTGGTCATACAGTAGTTCACCTAACCTGTGACCAAACAAATGCCATAAACTATAAAAGTTTATACCATTGTCAGCTCTAGCAGAATCTTCGATAGGTCTTGCTGTCAAATTGTCACCTTGTCTAATTCAATCCATTAAAAATGAGTAAAAAATGTGTGTTTGACGGAATGTTCCATCCCTGTCCAAACTTAGGTACCAACAGCGGAGTGGTGTGTGCAGGTGGAGAGATCCAGCCAACAAGTACCGGGTGGATGAGAAATTGGCCGTAAAGTGTATCCCCACCCTCATCAAGTGGAAGGATGTGAGTACAACACCTGACATTTTTGGCTTCAAGAATTATCTTGAGGGTGTGAGTGAGAACAATTTCTTGCAGTGAGGTCGGTGGAAGGATGGTCTAAACCGTTGGTTTTTAACCATTACAACCGGGGTTGGAATCCCGCATTGGGCATTTAATTAAAAGAATAATTCGCCAATGGCCCCCGATTCTTATAAAAGTCCAACCCCACCAGCGATTGCAAGTAATCAAACGAGGCTCTGGCACATTTGTAAGTGCAAAGTCGAACTGCTTTTCACATGTGTAGACATGTGGTGCACTTACAGTAAAAGCAGTCACCAACTTCTACCCACCATGATTATCATGGCCTGTACCACGTGTACTAGTGATAATAATATAATTTCTTGCAACCTCTGTAGGCCAACAGTAAATGTTTGTAGAAAGCTTGATCCAATCGTCTCTCCGGGAAACACTATGTGGTCTCATTGATATAAGCCAAATGCAACAATAATGCAACAGGTTTCTAAAGATTTTTGTTGCATTATTTTTTTGCATTTTTCTACATCTATTGTATTGATAAGCCAAATGTCACAGTCTCACTCCTTCCTATTCTTTCCTATATCACCTTTCAATCATCAAAAAAGAAGTCAAGTCTGTGGATCTTGAGCCTTATGATTGAGAAAAAGTGAAATGTGTCTGCTTTTGTCATTAAGACTGGGAGCACTCCTCAGTAGCAGGCCGACTTAGCTCCAATATGAAATGGCTGCCTGTGACATGAGGAGTAACAGTAAAAGTAGTTGTTTTTTTATATATATTATCCCTAGTACACGTGGTACAGGCCATTATAATCATGGTGGGTAGAAGTTACCAACTGCTATTACTGTAAGTGCACCACTTGTCTACACATGGGAAAAGTAGTTCGACTTTGCACTTACAAATATGCCAGAGGCCACATTTGGTTACTTGCACTCACTGGTGGGTTTGTTGGACTTTTGTAAGAATGAGGGGCCATTGAACAATTTCTTTTAATTAGAAAAAAAATTATCATTGGGGAATTCGACCCCAGGTCGTAGCAATCGAAAACCAATGGTTTAGATGACCATTTCACTGACCCCTTTCTTCTCCCCACTTCTTTGAAGTAACGTGCTGTGAAAATATTATCGCGTGTTGCCCCTCCGGATTCTTCGCGACTACGCCGCTTCTTCCTTCGTGGATCACCTACCCAGGCTCCCGTTGCTCTTCCTCTGCAGTTCTACCCTGCAGACCACCCAAAGACCTCCAAGAACCACCACTAAAGTGGAACTCCTTTCCTCTGGCAGTATCTCTCAGCCTTGCGAAATGGCGAAAGAGCCATTTATTGGCGGAGGTTGTGGTTTTTTGAGGCCTTATACGCGACAATATCCGCTGTGTGCATGACATGACAGTCTTGTGTGTTGTGTCCAGGTGAAGAGGCTGGAGGAGGCGGAGTGTGTCGATGAAGAGATGGTGACCATGCTCTTGGAGGACGACTAAACATTCCTGTGATACCACCCTGTGATCTCTACAGTATTTGAAATGCAGTTTTTGTCTTAAAAACTTGTGTTTTCTTGTTTATTTTCTCCCTCCAATCAGACCCAAATATAGTTGTACCAACACTACACTTGTTCTAAACACAAGGTAACAAGGCCAAATCCAATTAAATAAATAATGTATGACGTTTCGGTAACAGCGTTGTTAGACCAGATCAGAAAACTATCTTCTTCTTATCTGTTATCTTATTTACACACTTGATAACAGTAACTATTTAAAACATGCTGTGGTAAAATTTCTCATTCAGTACTTTTGTCTGAAGATGGTAACAACGCTGAAACGTCACACACTATTTATTTATTTGAATTTGGTCTTATTACCTTGTGTTTATTATCTATAATCCAAATTGTACCTTATTACACTTGTTCTAATCCAGTAAGTGGTATCTGTCAGACATGGTTTGTTGATTGTGTATCCATCAACTTGATTATATGGACAAATATTTAATCTGGTGGTGACCATCCTGGCCTGGTTGTTGTTGTTTCTTATCCCCATATTCAAAGATTATACGAATTCCATGAGTTCATGCTCCTCAAGCTGTTTTCTGATAAGCAGCGGCCTCTCCCAAAGGTCTCCTGACCTGGTACAGTCTGCATATAAAATTGTCAATTATCTGTCACCCACCTCCATTACTGTGAACATTTTCTTGATCTCAAAAATGATCTTGCCAGATGTAGTCAAACTCCCAATGTAAGACTACCTCTGGAAGAGACCAGAAATGTTTATGGGAGCTCTCTAATGGGAGGTTCTACTGTCTTGGTTTAAAGTAAACTGTTGCCCTCTTCAAATTCTCTTTTGTGTGTCATAATGTGAGTTGGTCACTATTAGATGAGAATGTTCTCATTTCGTATAACTTTAATTCAACACCCCAAAGTAGAGAAGGGAAGAATAAGTTCAAGTCACTGTTGAATTACTTGTTCAAATAACTCCCCATCCCAATATTTTTTTTTTTTGCTTATCCCTAGTACACGTGGTACAGGCCATGATAATCATGGTGGGTAGAGGTAGGCGACTGCTTTTACTGTAAGTGCACCACATGTCTACACATGTGAGAAGCAGTTCGACTTTGCACTTACAAATGTGCCAGAGCCCCGTTTGGTTACTTGCACTCGCTGGTGGGGTTGGACTTTTGCAAGATTCGGGGGCCATTGGAGCGTTTTTTTTTTTTAACAGAAAAAAGTGTCCAATGCGGGAATCGAACCCAGGTCGTAGTGGTTGAAAACCAAACGGTTTAACCAGTCTTCCACGACCTCCCATCCCAATATGGAGGAAGGCTCTCACTTGCCCTTGAACTTGGAAATGGCTTCTAAAGGTAAATGAACCTATTATTAGGTCAATGACATAGGGATGTGAAATTTCTGAGAGTTCTCACCACCAGAATATGGCTCTAGATTGTCTTGGAGAAGCCTGTTTGAGGAGGGACATAAGTCTTCTATGATTAATTCGTCTAAATACAGTAAAACACCCCTAAAACGAACATGGGATAGAGTGAATCTTCCCTTAAAATGAACCTGAAATAATCTCCTTTTTTATTTTAAAATACAGTAGAACTTCCATGAGAGGACACTCGCGCTAGAGAATACCTCTCTATAAAGGAAAGTTTTCATTTGCAAAATTACCATTTTAACAATTTAGCAACTCCGGAAAGAAGATACCTCTCCCCAAAGGTCCTTTGGCTCTGCAATTAGGCGTCCTTTATAGGGAGGTTCTACTGTATAGTGAACTACCGCTATATAGTGAACCACAGGTTCAGTCCCATTGGGGTTCATTATAGAAGGGTTTTACTGTACATAACAATTAATGAGGTAGACTAAGAAAGGATTGGTTTGAAAATCCATTAGAAAAGTCTGGAATTAGAAGAGAATTATACATAACACAGGATAGATGGCTGACCTATGTATCAGAGATGTTGTTGTTGTTTCTTATCCCCTTGTGTAAAGATTACACGAATTCCATGAGTTCATGCTCCTCGAGCTGTTTTATGATGAGCAGCGCCTCTGCCAAAGGTCCTGTTTAGTACATCTAATGCAAGCCAAAATGTGTTCTGGAGCTGCAGGTGCCAAGCTACATTTTGGGCAAGTGGGGTATCATGCATCAGAGATGAATGTACTATATGATGATATCACTTTTGTTTGAAAGTGAAGCAAACAATTACACTGATCGACAAAACTTAAGGAAGTTGTACCTTATACCATATATATATCGGGATTCAGAAAATAACTCTGAGAGATATTTTCTGAATCCCGATATATATATGCTATAAGGTACAACTTCCTTAAGTTTTGTCTATCGGTGTTATTAGATTGCTGTGTCTCTGTTTTATTATTATCCCTAGTACACGTGGTACAGGCCATGATAATCATGGTGGGTAGAAGTTAGCGACTACTTTTACTGTAAGTGCACCACATGTCTACACATGTGAAAAGCAGTCCAACTTTTGCACTTACAAATATGCCAGAGTTCCATTTGGTTACTTGCACTCACTGGTGGAGTTGGACTTTTGCAAGAATCGCGGGGGGCCAATGGAGCATTTTTTTTTTTTAATAAGAAAAAACGTGTCTAATGTGGGATTCAACCCAAGGTCATAGTGATCAAAAACCAACGGTTTAGACCATCCTTCCACTGAGACCCCTTGTTGTACTCTCTCTGCCTGTTGTCCAGCATGCAACAAGGAAGAGATTGGATTCTATCAATATTTCACACGCACACACAAAGCCTTTGTTGTTGTCCTGTCCTCACAAACCCTTTATATATAGTCTTATAAATGTATTTGCCACAGAGTCTGCCAAGAAAAATAATAAAAAGAAATAAACTCTAGGTAATAAGGCCAAATCCAAATAAATAAATAGTGTGTGACGTTTTGGTAATAGTGTTACTACCATCATCAGACAAAAGTACTGAATT